ACATCGCTAACTGATACATGCTTGCTAAAATGTGATATGGTTATACCCCCACAAGATATAATGGTGGAACCACAAAAAAAAAAAAAAAAAAAAAGAAAACCGAAAAATGGCCCAGTGGTTCAGTAGAACGCATCAGGATCTGACAGAAGCAAAAACACAAATGATATCATGATACGGGTGAAGAGTTGAATAGAAAGGGAGTGACAGTGGACACGAACGGAAGTACACGGACGCAATCACACTGTTACGGAGTAAAATAGAGAATAAGGACACCGTTGAACAACAGGTACACATAGTGCAATGGCAGTGGGGATGCGATAACAGCAGCATCAACAGAACCGGTGCATGTTAACAAAATGAATGACTGGCACAGTAGCAGCGAGGATGACAAACGATGCAATAGGGACGCAAAAATAAAGAGGAAAATAGCTGAAGCTCAGACCCCAGTTACAGCGGCACAAAGGATAAGAAGAACAGTTCGCTTTATTTTAACATAGCGACGTTGTAATTAGCCAACTCGCCCCCAACTTTGCGCAATGAATGTTAAGGAAGATTCTTAACTCTGAACTGTAATTATAATTTTCTTCTTTTGTACTTACCGGCAAATGAAGCTGATGTGTGGTCGCTAAAGATAGTAAGGCTACTTGTCTACTCAGACTAATTGCTTAGACGACTCCAAGGGTACATTTGTATGGGTAATAACATGATTTTGGGTGCAATTTGGAGTTAACAAGCTCAAGTAAATTATTCAGAGACCATAAAATTGCGCGAGCCCGTAGGGCGGGTGCAATTTGTATTCTTTGAAAAATTTATCGCGCTTATTTACACCACATTGCACTCGAAATCATGTCAGTGTTACTTGCTGATAATTTACATAATTCACACAAAAACAAAATTGTTGAACTTTTATCAAAGTTTAACATGGCGAACAGTGTAGCATTTCATTTCAAGACCGAGTGTATGTTATCGCTTTAAATTCGAAACACAATAAACGGAACACACGGGCTCTCGCGAGTGATTTCCACGGATGAAAACCACGTTAGAAGCAGAAACTTTTTAGTATCACAGTGCAACGAGATTGATGGCACAAACTCATATCGCTGAGAGTAATTCAAATAATGAAACAAAAGATCTAACCATGGTGACTGACGATCCGATTGGAAAAGATCTGTCCATGAATCACGTGCCTGTCAACAAGTCCACTACCTCATTTAATGTAAAACCCTTGCAAGATCTCCATTACAACCTCCGTATATTATACAGTAAGAAAGGTGAGGTGTTTCAAAACTTTGGGTAACGATTCGCGGAAGAAACCGCCTCCCGGTTAGCTCAAATGGATAGAGCGCTGGACTGTTGTGCGGGAGGTCGAGGGTTCGAGCCCCGGCCGGACCAACACTCAGGGTCTTAAAAATAATTGAGAAGAATTTGCTACCTTTCTATAACATCAAGAAATGGTTAGATATTCTAGTCTTCTCGGATAGGGACGAATAAATGGAGGTCCCGTCTCCTGCAGGGTTGGGGTAGGAGACGTTAATTTCCCACACACGAGATTACTGTGTGATGGATGTCCTCCCCTGGGGTGGGATGGGTGGGATATAGGGCGCACTTAATAAGGAGCCTCGCTCTGTTGTGCGACCCTCACCACACTCTGGTGAAAGTGAGTAAATAAATAAAATTCTAACTTCCTCTAAAATGGTTCATTGCATTATTTTTCTTACATTCAAATTCAAATGTATTCCCATTTCGCTGAAAAATTCCGTTAGTTCACGTCGTCGTTAAGAAATTTTTACTGGTACGTTAAGTAACAACAGTGCAGGGGAAGACCACCGATTTCTATGTTAAAATGTAACAGCACACCGTGTGTCATTCTGTAATAGAGTCGCGCAATTCTCGAAAGTCACACAAATCACGCAAAGTACAAAAGTCAAGTAACGATCTACTGACAACAGCTATTCTAACGAGAATGGCAAGTTGTAGGTTTCGTGTGCAAGGATAATCGATATCCTTTTCCTCATAGAGTTCGATAAAAAAAAAAATGGATGTTAAAATAATCCAAGCTTTCAAGGCAAGTAAGTCGCCATTTAGAAAAGGACTACCGCCGTTGCACCAACCAGTCAAACCAACATTACGAGACATCTCGATCAATTTCGCGCATGCACACACGCACAGAAGAAAACGTATATGATGTGTCCCAGTAATATGTTAACCTCACAATGTTCACCAATGAAGTGAATGCTAAGAAATGTCCGTATCTATATCATTCGCGTCCCATGGTATACAAGATTCAACATTTTCAAGAGTAAAATTCTCTGGGAAAACTGCCGGAGAAATGGCATCTTGCGATTGAAGAGAATATTGGGCTGCTAGTATACCAGCCTTTACACAAATTACCGGCGAATGTCCTTGAATAATGAATGAAGCCATTGCTGCTGCAAAGCTGAAACATAAAGACAACATGGAGTGGTCAGTGAGCTTATTCAATGAGTCTACATTCTACTCCGAGAGTTCGTCTTAAGCACAAAATAATTAGATCGTAAAGTGGGCACGACAGTATCTCTAAATTCCATATTTTAGATTTCACGTGCTTTACGAGTGCATTTCTTAGTAGTGCATTATGCATTGGCATGAGATAAGCACGCACACCCAGATAGAACGTGCAACGTTTTCATTTTGGTAATGCCACCCCTAAAAAAATTACCACAGGCAACCTTGTTTGTATCACCGATCATTTAAACAGGCTCCAGCTTGAGATAGTCAATTAACTCTCAGCGGGCTTATATTTCAAAGGAATGACCTTGAATGAAATAACATAAAAAAAAAAAAGATGAATAAGAGGGGGACGTGGCTCTCCTTCACACTCTAATTTAGAAGTTCTCGGGCTACAAATTCTGTTTCGCCCAAAGATCAATCATCCAATCTCACCTGTCACCTGCACCGGTGACGTTTCCCCCTGGTTCGTGACTTCCCAAGCCTATAGCGGGAAAATGTCGCGCTGACACCAAACTGTGTTGCCGCGCTGCAGATACACGACCCAACTGTTGAGCCGTCGGAAATGGAGTGTCAGCGGAAGTATCTCTACAGATCAAGGCGCCATGTTTGCCAAGAGTCACAATGATGCAATGGATATTCTTTAAAAGTGGCTTGCAAAGGTGCAAGCACTCGGCTATAATATCGTCTAGTGGTCGATCTTTGTCGTTATCATCCTCCGTAGTGTAGTGTGGAAGGTTTGATCTCCGTAGTTCGTCATTTATCGTGGCTGAGCTCATGGTTTGAAGCTCTTTTAGATTAGGCGACACGTATGTTATGTTGTGCCATGCGTCACTGCGAAAGGGTTTATCGGCTTTCAGGACGCACGTTGGTTCAAACCAGACTAAATAACAAAACAATTAATAAAGAAGCGGTTTTACAAGAACTGTATCAAGACATTTTCAGGTACATGACAGGGAAGGGGTCAGTCTGTTTTCTGCCAACCTTGAGAAATCCATGCCATGCACTTTCAACCAACAGCTAGAGACTAATAACCAAAAATAATTTACCATCAATCTAAGAAAACACACTAAATCTTCACCGTCTATCTACACAAGGTTCTTGCACTTTTTCAGGAACCTAACAATTCAAGGACTTTCGAGGACTTTCAAGGACCTTGGCTCTCAAATTCAAGGACCTTTTGCATTAAATAGGAGCTAACAGAAATTTAAAAAAAAAAAAACATCGCTCTTTATTACGGGTCAAACATCATAATCGGACACGGGATTCAAAAGAAAAACTCGATTTCGCGATTTGTGCTATAAACTTGCACTTTCATCGCCAAAAACTAAACAAAACTTCGACTTTGATTCATCTGCACTTATTTGCAAAGACTTTTCAGAAATTTTCAAGGACCTGAGACTAAATTCAAGGGTTTTCAAGTCCTTGAAAACAAAAAATTAAATTCAAGGACTTTAAAGGACTTTCAAGGAGCGCAGGAACTGTCTACAGTACATGTCGGTCATTCATTTGTGACCGTCATCCTTTGGTGGAAGACCCTATTAATTGAATCGTAATCAATACTCAGCTACAGCACTAGCATTATGGTACCTGGTATGCGGTTAGCTGCGCAGAAGTAACACACTTGATCAATAGCTTCTTCAGTGATGTTACCATCCAGCATTACCAAAGGTGCGTGTTTAATGGGTTCCTCAAAGGCTAAAATCTTAGAAATAGATACAAAAAATACAAAAGATGTTTTAGAAAAAGCTGAAATTACTTCTTTATTTGAGGAGTATAATAAACTCTAAGAAGTTGAAATCAACATTGTAAGAGGAAGGAAATGGGGGCAAGGGGGGAGGGGAAGGTTGGGAGGAAAGGATTTACAAGCAAAAACGACGCGTTATTTTCAAGTGTCTCTCGCTTTCACATTAGCGAACCTTTACAATGTTACTACGTTACTCCTGCTCAGCACAAAAGAGTCAAAATTTACTTATTTACCAATTAGATATATAAAAAATGTGTTTGGAGCCCCGTTCCCCATCAAATATTCCAATATTCAAATATTCCAAAATCTGGCCACCTTTTGTAACTCCATGACTGTAGGTAAAATAGCGAGTCACATTTGAGAAAGAGGCGGGCTGAACGGAAATAATGAAGCAATCAAAAGTCCTCTTAAATAACAGTATCTCACATGATCAGGACTGATAACTTTATGGATGTCCATGTCACCAACGGCTGCGTGAAATTCGCCATTTTGGCTCATTATCGCCGAGTAGGTACCAGTGTGATTAACCTTAGAGGTGTATATGCCACGTGTAACCTGAACAGGGAACCAATCAACAATTTAAAAACACTAAATCGCTTTGAGGGAACTGAATATAAAGTGAACTTAAGGCAAATGACTATTTATTGCTATAACCTTATCTTTCTAGGTACAGCACAGCCAGTACAACACTGTCCCACGTTGATGTTACAAGCTCACGATCGTTTATTCGGCCAGCTATGCTTTGATCTAGGTGAGGGGGGGGGGGGAAGGGAAGGTGAAATGACAGGATACTAAGGCAATTTCTAAAAATTTCTGTTACCCCACACCTTCCCCACTCCTTCATTTTGACCGTCGCTCACCCCCTCGGAACAAATTTCTTTCTCTCCCGTCTTCTGCTGCTGTAAAAATCAAAGTTGGCAGCTATAATTTTCACCAAGAATATACTGTGCAGTCGCTCAACAAAATTACACATGCTCTGCTGGCTATTGTCCAATTGTCCAGATGTGGTTATAGGGCTTTCAATACATCATCGTCATGTCGATCTATCCAACGAATAAATCTAACATTTGACGGGAGTCGTCTTATCACGAGCCTAGGACAAAGAAAAACTTTTCAGTATCTTCGCAGTGCAATACAGGCCTACCATTCTTGTTTCTTCACAGTGTTTAAGCAACATGGCTCCCAGAGGATCACTCCCTATGGATGACACGAACAGCGGCCTCAAGCCAAGACGAGCCAGGCATTCTGGTGAAGTGAAGAATCAAAAAGTTTATTCTATTGTTTTAACTGCAGCTTTGATGAAGGGAAAAAAAAAAAAAACGCAGCAGGATTTCTCATGTCAGATTTCTATCCTAGGATTAAAACGCAACCAACTTTCATACTGCTATACCTTAAACGATTACAGAATACTTTGTTTGCAAGACGTTCATTTCAAACATGCACGATAGGGTTCAGTAAACATTTTACTTGGTGGAGTGGGCAGAATTTAGAAGAGCAAATTTTACGAAACCAAGAAACAAAACGTAAGAGTATGAAGAAACAAAAAGATCCAGTATAGATTCAACACTTTAGAAGATGTGTATAACAGCTTTAAACTGTAGGTAAACGTCGCGAGAACAATAAGCATTCTGCTTCATGAATTATCTAAAGAGCAGGCTTCTGCTTTCTTGCTATCCTCAGCTGCGTGGATAGAGATTAGTTATAAGTGTATCGGAGCTTATCCAAAACACTTCTTTGACTTTCGCCCTCCGCCTTCTCCTTTTAAAGGGGAGCGTTGCATGACATCCCACAAAACGCCTGCGAGGATGACGGGTGTTAATCTTACGTAAAACGAAGGATGCAATTAATATGTTACTTTCTCACCTGCCATATTTCTTCCAACTCCACCAAAACTCATCCTTACTTTTCCAGGGTTGGACGCTTCAGGCTGTTTAAATGTTATTAAGCGATTTAATTCCAGTCCATAAACGTATTCATTCCTTCATACACTTTAAACGATGAGACACTTAACCCTCTGAGATCTGGGGGTGACTAGGATCTAGTTTCTCTTTAGGATATCACCCCTTGCAAAGAAAATTCTGCATTGTTAAACAAACTTCCCTTGTCAGCACCGTAAGAAATGAAAAGAGAGCAGCACTAAGAATACGCACACTGATGTTGGGGTGTTAAACGAGATTCACAATCTCTGTTCTGTCTGTGAGAGTTCACTGCATTGCACAACAGGAAAAACAAGAAAGACCAACGGTCTGGGAGAACTAGTAAAGCCTGCTGTCATTTCAAGATGCCGACTTTAAAATGGTAATTTGCGTTTCTTAATTGATACCTGTCTTGAATTTGTATAGGTAAGAACATGATTTCAAGCGCAATCTGGTGTTAATAAGCAGGTAAATTTTTCATAGAAAACAAAATCGCACGAACCCGTATGGCGAGTGCAGTTTGTGGTCTTTGAAAGATTTACAAGTGCTTATTACAGCAAATTGCGCGAGAAATCGTGTTGTTACTTGTTAATAATTTACATAAAAAGGCATCACAGAAAGTCAAATGCACTTGTTTTCATCCAATCAGATGGGCACAAGATTTTTTATCTATATTATTAATTACCATACTTGCCACAATATTTTCCGCTGTTGCGATAAAATCGACATTGGACCCACCGATCACAACCTAGAACGGAACGTGACCGGATAAAGAGAAAAAAAGGAAAAAAAAATTATCAACCGAGAGCAGAGCTCTCCACAGGTTTATCAGCGCAAGCTGTTATGTGTATACCCTCTTTAAATAAAGTCGATTATTATTATTATTATTATTATTATTATTATTATTACTATTATTATTATTAGAGCTGCTGGTGACAAAGTAACTAAACAAAGTGATTTCAATTTGAGTGTTAAAAATTGAAGTTTCATTCTAATTGACATAAAACTGAAAGGTTAGCGAAATTAGCCCCAAATTCCCACACATTCTACCCAATTTTGCCCATCCCCTCTTCTTTTCCTTTTTTCGTTCGAGTTTTACCTTTTTTCGTTCGAGTTTTACCTTTTTTCGTTCGAGTTTTTAGCCTAATTATTCCATTTCAGTTAATTTCGTTCACTTCTAAAATAGCTTCAGTACAAGCAACTTTCTTTATACTTCAGCACAGTGTCTTTCGTTCAACTCAAGTTGTAGTAGTGTATTGTAGTAAACATACACAGAATCCAGAAGAAAACTGACCGCCCACCGGTCTGTCATAAGAACAGCATTCTCTGTTCCCACAGTGTTACCTACAAATTTGACTCTTAATTTACTACTGTCGACTTACTGGTCTCTTTTGCCGGTTCCAGTCTGTAGTTGAATCTGGAAAGCCTGGCACTTTGCCTTGTGATTCCTGTGAAGCAGCAAATGGAATCCTTCAACTTACGTTTGAGTTCGGCTACAATTTATTACAGAAGTGTATTGTATTCCATTTTGCCTTGTTTGTCTTTCCTTTTCTAGGTCATAAAAGACGGCTACGGCTTAGCTACCATATTATGTTCCAGTCGCATTTTGACACCAGCGATGATCAGTAAGGGCTGATTTTCAATGGCGACGGAGTTGGAGTCGCAAGAGTGCTTCCGAACAAGTAAAAATCGAAAATCGGAGTCTCAGAGGAGTCACGGGCTAGAAGGAATCCGAACTTGAGGATCAAAACAGTTCCATTTTCATCCGATTTCGCTTATGACTCCGCCGCTCATGATCCACTGAAAACTAGATTGTCTGAGTCGCGAGCAGAAGCGAACGAACTAACCAATCACAATGCCAGTTATCAGGCTTTCAGATGGCTTACGATCCCGGCACTCCATTTTTCACTGTATTGTAGGCGACGGAGTCGTGAGCGGCACCCATATTTTTCCTTCCGTCTCCGTGGGTTTGATTATGAATCTGACTCCGACTCCATCGCAAGTGAAAAGCAGCGTCCTTAACTGAAAAGACACATGGCCGAATGGAATCAGCGACAGCATATCTTCCTTGTTCTTATGGCTTACCACAGCTTTCTTTTCCTTGAGTTTTCGTATTCTGCATAACTCAACAGCAATTAAACTTCCTATCTTTGCATTGTTTTTTACTAATGCCATATCTGACAGCAGGAGTTAAGGATTTTTATCTTATAAATTAACCAGTTCGGCACTTTGTAATTGGTCTGAGCCGCAAGTGCCTAGAGTTAAGGCTGACCTTACGTACTGAAGACTAAATTAGGAAACTTGCAGAATAACCTGCAACTTAAAAGCTGTGCCCCAGCTGGGTCCAACGCTCAAAACGTCAGCTTTTCAAATAAGTTATAGCTAAAGTTATTCAGTGAATCATCCAGGCATACTCGGAATAAAAGAACTCTGAGTACTCCCAACAGGAGCCGAACCTACGACCCCTCGAGCTGTACTTTAGATATTCTACCACTGAGCAACAGGAGACTTGTGATTGGCTAAGCTGTTTAACTACGTCCACGGTGACACACTTCCCACATTCCCCATTCCCACATTTCCCACATACTGCACTTTCACAAGTTACTCCCGGGTTCAAACCATTTACTGCAAACTTCTCAGATACTGCCAACACACGTTTCCTACAGCAAAGTGGTAGAGCATCCAAAGTACTAATCGGAAGGTCGAAGGGTCGAATCCTAATTGGCAGGAGTGCTCGGGGTTTTTTTTTTTTTTTTCGAGTATGCATGTGTCATTCACTGATTAACATCATCTTTCACTTAAAATCCTGACCCACAAACGCAGCGCAAAATTTTTTTTACAAACTGATGTCACCTTTCTAACCGCTTTACTAAAAATACCTGACAAACTCTTCCTTTAAAACCATGACAGATTTTCTCGATATTTTTGTCACGGTTATCATATGAGCATTATTATATGGCTGTGTCTCACAAGGACTGGGAACTACCGAATTCACGAATTTGATTGGCTGAAATCAATATTGAAAGCGGTCTAGATTTTCCCATCTAGACTGGCATCTAGACTGGTCTAGA